GTGCTTGTTTAATTGATTGAAATGTAAAAGTTGATTTGTTGATTTCAATCTGCATCATGTTGAAGGCAAAAGACCTGCTGAATGTACACTTTCGCAACGCTAAACTCAAAATCGCAACGCGAAAGTCAATTCGCGTTGCGATAGTCTAATATGCTTTGCGATTTTCTCGTTGCGATAGTCAAATTCCCGTTGCGATAGTCAAATTCGCGTTGCGATATTCAAATGAATGTGTAATAAGTGATAACAACTGAACAGATCATAGCAATGTTCAAAATCAAGTTACTAATACATGTCTAACTGAAAATGTTAAAAGTTTACACATAAAATACACATAATAGTCAAATTCGCGTTGCGATATTCAAATGAATGTATAATAAGTGATAACAACTAAACAGATCATAACAATGTTCAAACTCAAGTTACTAATACATGCCTAACTGAAAATGTTAAAAGTTTATACATAAAATACACATAATACAACGTTTACATTTAAAAATCACCTAAGTTAATAGTCCCAAAAGGTGAAGCCGGTTGTGATTAGGATTTTGATTTTGATTGCGATTTTGATTGCCTTTTTCTTGACACCATATGAGCTTTGGATTTTGATGAGGATCCATATTTTGGTAGAGGAAAAGATGATTGTGATGGCACTGGTGATCCACATGTCAACCTTGTATGACCACTTTCCTTGCACCGACTACATGTCGATCTCTTCTTCTCTTCACCCTTAGACGGTATACGATCATGACTTTTTGGTCGGCCAGGTAGCCTTCTTTCCATGGCTGGTGGCAAAACTGTTTGTAAGTAATCTGGTATGTCCCACTCAGAAGGATGTGGAATAGGGTAGATAATCTCGGCATAAGTTTTTCGATATACTTCTGTAGTGTAGTAATCCATAGCGTATGCGCTTGAATCATCTTGGTTTAGATAAAGAGCAACTTTTATAACATGACCACACGGATAACCAGATGTTTTCCATTTCATACAACTACACGTCTTTGCATTTAGATCGACAGGCCCATTTAAGTTATTATCCAGTACTTCAAACAAAGTGTTTGAACATGGTTCAACTCTCCATGACGTTGACTTCACAACACGTTTCGTTATCTTTTTTTCAGTCCATGGTGTAACACGATGTTTCAATGTTCCTGTAAATTTAAATAAATAATACTTAGTAAAATATATGATAAGTTACGAATTTAAAGAAATAATACCTGCATGGTTCCTTTTCTTGTAGTACCACTGTTGAATAGAGGCTCGAAAAAACTCCATTAACATAGTAATGGGTAATTTCCGGGAATGACGACTTAGAGCGTTGATTGATTCTGCACTATTATACGTCATGAAACCATATCTTGCTCCAAGTTAATGTACTCTTGACCATCTTTCAAACTCGACATCTTCTAATGTTTGAGCACACTGAGGCAAAACACGTCTTAAACAATTTATATGCTTATTAAAATCCATTTCCCGATAAGCTTTTATAGCCTTCCAGTATGTCCATTTATGATTTTTTATACCAACAGACATTGATTTTAGATTTCTATACAAATGAACACCACAAAGTCCATGAAAAGCATCTGGGAAACACCTTCTAACAGCGTTGTCAATTGAGTTTGCCCTATCGGATATGATTTTCAGATTGCTAATAGGACCTATGCAATCCCTAAGATGCCTCATAAACCATATCCAAGAATCAGAGGTTTCAGATTTGCCAACCCCGTAAGCTATTGGCAGTATCCCATTGTTAGCATCCATGGCTACTGCTAATAAGTTTACTCCAAGGTATCGACCTTTTAAATGTGCTCCGTCAACTATAATAACTGGGCGCATGCAAGTAATAAACGAACGAATCTACAAAATCATATATACAAAAAATATAATCATTTAAATGTGAAATGCATGTAACTAACAAAAATGAGTCAACAAAATTATATTGATTTACTAACCACAGCACCAATAGCGATAAACAACAACTCAAAGCGTCCATCTCTATCTGTTTTGATATGAGTTACCGACCCAGGATTTTTCAGCTTTAAATTGTGATAATAAGCCGACAGTTGGGCAAACGATGCTTCTGGCGACCCCCTCAACAATTCCAAGGCATAACATTTGGCTCTCCAAGCTTGAGAATATGAGATACTAATCTTGAACCGAGCATTCATGTCAGTCATAATTTCATGTCCCCGATATACCATGCCATTCAAAAACATTAACTCAGCCAGAAAATCACCCAACACCTTTTTGTTTGTCTGTCTATGGTGAAGAAAAACTTGGGTTATTGAACATGTATGTTTATCAATAAAAGTCCTAACTTTAAACATTTCACAATCTTTTATCCTCTTTGCAATCATACGCCACGTACAGTTTTTGTCAATCATACACCTTGTTTCGAAACGATCTTTGCTTGATTTGTTAACTTTCAGTTGATAACCATCTTCCACACATTTCGTATACAAAGCTATCTTCAAGTCTTCCTTTGTATCAAAACAATCATCTTTCTTGATACGAATAATTTTTGTGTAACAATCAACTGCTATCTTTACCAACTCTTCTTATGGTATCTGAAGTAATTCTGGCATATTCCAGTTATACTCCCGTGACATTTTCTTCGGGGACTTTTCTTCGGGGATTTATTCTTTTTCTTTTTCTTCTTCAGGGTTATATGAATTACAGAATGGATGTTCAACATGTTCATTCACAGTCGTAACTTCCTCCTCATTATCATCAACAACATCTTCCTCGGCAGCGGCTGTTTCATCATCAAAATTCGGGTATTGGCCAATATCAAAATCATTACACGCAGGGTCTGTTTCTTCTTCTGAAACATCATCAAAATCCAAGTATTGAACAAGATCAAAGTCCGGCTATTGACCAAGATCAAATTTCGAATACTGACTAGTACTCACAATTTTTTCTGTTGGCTCATCATCGTCTAACTGGTCAATACGAAAACTGGAATTTGGTGCTGAAAGTTGATTGGGATTTGGATTAGGGAAATGTTGTGGGTTTTGAGATTGTGTTTGGTATTGGAAATGTGGTGAAACAAAATTTGCTTGGTGATGAAATTGTGGTGGAACCATTAAATTTTGAGCACCATAAACTGGGGTTAAAAACTTAGTTGATTACTACCCGCTACTGACCTAACTTCACTACTTCTAGGTTCAACAACATACAATGTAACATCATCTTGTGAAACACTAATGTAAGCAATGAATCATTCAACATCTTCATTGTCGGTTAACAAATAAACTTTACATTTTCTCTGATAAGATAGCCTAAATCCACTTAAGGGCTCTAAATTCAATTTATTTGCAACACGTAACATTAGAGTTTCATAAGTTAACTTTTTTAATGACAGTTTTAGTTGAAGATTCATGGGTAAATGCATATATTGTAAAACACCATGAACATTCTCCCATGACCCTCCAAAACACAAATCTATCCAAACATGATCAACATTAAATGATTTCATTATTGTAAATTAATTTACTAAACAAACGAGCTGTGAAACTAAAACCTGTTGACGGATGGGGAAGGATGTCGTTGGATATAGGAACGGATGTCACCGGAGAGAGTGATAGATGGAAATGGAATGAGTTGCGATTTAGGGATTTAGGTTATGAGTTGTTGCTGCTGCGTAGTTATATACTCAAAACATTTTTGTTGCGAAACTAAAACCTGTTGCGAATTTGAAATTCAGCGTTGCGACAGTCAGAATCGCGTTGCGATAGTCAGAATCGAGTTGCGATTATGTATTATCGCGTTGCGATAGTCAGAATTGCGTTGCGATTTACATATTCGCATTGCGATTTTCTAAAATCGCAACGCGAATTTGGAAAATCGCAATGGGATAGTCAAAATCGCGTTGCGAATCTGGAAACTAATTTGCGATACTGGAGATCGCTTTGCGATTTAGAGATCGCATTGCGATTTTGTTAGTCATTTTGGCAAATCGAAAAAAAGTTGGTCAAAATCGTATATTATAAGGAATTTTCGGTCACTGAGATTATTTTCTCTATAAATAATTTGATTTATTATTAATAAAGTTAAATAATATAATTAAATTAATTTAATTTTTATAAAATTTGTAGAAAAAATATATTTTTAAAAAATCAGTAATATATAATGTATCCTATTTCTGCCAATAAATATCAAAATTCAATTTAATGTTTTTTTGTTTGAACAAGTATAATAAATTATTATTTTTTAAATTATCGATATTTAATTTATAGGTAAAGTACACAAATGATCACCTGATTAAAGGGTATTATTTTGTTAAGTTATCTGAATATTGGAAGTTATAAAATAGTCCATTTACTATATAATGTTTTGTTGAGTCCCCTTGTTATTAAAAGTTACGAAATGGTCACTTGACTATTCATATGTTTCAAATTAGTCATTTTTAATTAAAAAATTGACCACCTTTTGAACTGAACGTTAACATATTGATTGAGATGTGATAAAATCTGATCTCATAATCGTTTGAGGTGTATTTTGTAGATTAAGTCGCTAATTATATCATGTTGTCGAGCTAGTGCTTAAAACATTATACCGTCGAGTCAGTGCTTAAAAATAATAATGATTCCAATATACATCATTAAAATATAATTTTATCATATCTAAGTCAGTAGTTTCATGTTTAGCTCAAACGACTATCAAATTTTTAATAAAAAATAACGAGTTTGAAACTTATGAATAGTCGATTGATCATTTTGCAACTTTTAATAGTAAAAAAAACTCAACAAAACAACACCATATAGTCGATGATAATTTATATATTTTACCTTTAATTTTATTTATCAATTGATTCAAATTGAATATTTTAAAAAAATCATTATGGAATAAGCTTCTCTACTCATCTTGTTCAATTCTAACTAGCTGTTGGTTCATAAATTCTTAATTGAATTCAACTAAATTACATTTATTAATAGTGATGGAATGCACCGAAATAATACTTTAATTATTTTACAAAACTGTGTTAAAGGGCCCCAATATTTAGATTTAAAAAACATCGCGCGAAATCAAGAAAATTGTTTTATCAGAAGGAAAAAAGGAACTGTTTAAATCCCCAAACCGTTCGCTTCAAATCTCCAAAAGTGGAAAACTAGAAGAAAAAATTTTCGCAATTAATGTATTTTTTCCGTGATTTCTAAAGTTCATGTGTTTAGGTTTTAGCAATGTCGAAGATAGAGAGATCTGTTTCAGCTCAAAGCAATTTGTTCGAATGCGAAGAAGAAAATGCAGTCAACGAAAGGGAGAATAGCGGCCGGGTAGATGAAGAAATAACATTGTTTGCTCAGAAAAAGCTGCGTCAACGCGAGTACGATTATGTTAGTGTTTTTCTTTACCCTCCTAATTTTAAGCACATTATTATTATTTTTGGAGTAAATTCAATATGTTTTTTGTTTTGATCCTTTGTGTTGCTGGAGATCTGATCTGAAAGCGTTATATGATAAATGACTGAAGTTGTTAAGAAATTATCGTCCCCCATGTTGTGATACTCGGTTGGAAAGTGATAGACGAAGAAGAATAAGTTGATACAACTGAATGAGTAGAGTCTTGAAATTTAACTGAAAATGGTATTTGTGCGCTAAATTTGATTGCCAATTGCGCAATGATGAAAATTATTTCGTGATTTTCTAAAAGAATGACCTATTTAAATAAAATGTATAAATTTATCATGATTTTTAAAGTTCTGTACATGTGATCTATTTAACAAGGATCGTGGAATTGAATATTTGAATTTATGAGAAAAATATACATACATTTTGGATAAATTAGTTGGAATTTAATATAATTATATATTTAAGTACAAAAGCATGAATTTTCAATTTCAGAAATAGTTGTAGGAATTTCATATGAACTATCAATGGGCATGAATATTTTATTTATGTGTTTTATCACACAAACTATATTTTAAATTCAAGTTCTCAAGTGCCACCTTAAGAAAGTTTAGCTAAGTCTTGTGCATAGTTACATATTGACTCTTTGATTTTTTTAAACTAAAGAATTTCTGAAAGGGAAACAAATCTAAGAAAAATATTTGAAATAAAATGGAAAAACTAATAAAATATGAACTAAAGCGCTATAAACCCCAGAATCTTTGGTGAATGGGGCTTGAAATTGCTTTAGATTTAAGGAACCAAAAAAAATTAGTTGTACTATAGTTAATCTGCTTTTTGTCATATATACTGCAGCTTTTAGTTCTTGATAGTTTTAGATTGATAATGATTTGATTGTAAAAGGGGTTCTCTCTGACACAAGTAATAAACTGCTGACTCTTATCTTTTATCATTTTAGGTTGAAAACAAGCAAAACGGCAACATTGAAAATTTACAAGTTACGGGAGTTGGTCTTCTGTCAAAGATTCAGAATCTTGAGAATCGATTTGCTTTTGCCTTCACAAAATTCAGGGTTTCTGAATTGTCTATTGGCAACATCGAACTGTCCAAATTTGTTGCTGAGTTGGATGAACAAGTTCAACTTTGTTTTGCTGAGATGAAGCAATTCTGTACTCTTTATTCATTTGCAAATCTTAAAGGAACTTGCGGTTATTATGATTTGGAAATTTTAGGAAGTTCGGATTTGATTAGTCAAAAGCAGCAGTTATGTTCTCCTTATCAAGAGCGTTTTGATATGGTAAAGGAATTGTCAGAAAAATTACTTGAGATAGAGAAGCTTAAATCTGACAACTTGCTCAAGGAGCATGAGCTTGAGGGTTTAAGGTATAGTCAAAAAGAGTTAGAAACTTGGATTTATTCTGCTGAGAAGGAAAAAAGCCAGTTGGAGGAAGATATGGATATCATGAGAAGGGAAGTTGTTGTTACAGCTAAATTTTTTGATGATTTACGGAGCGAAATGGTGGAACTGAATAGCAATATGGACTCCAAGATTTCTCCCAACAAAATTCTCAAGAAGAAATCCTTTGAACTTGAAGATGAAAAGCAGGAAGTGAAAGTTTATTCATCTGAACTTGAAGAAGAAGACTTACTTTTGTCTGATCAGTTATGTGGCTTAGAGGAAAAAATCATGTATCTAATCGATGAGAAAGAGTCATACCATATTGAAAGGAAAAGTCCAGAATTTGATGCTATAGATTTCAAAGATGAGATAATAACAAGATTGGAAGATGAAATAGAAGTAGAAAGGCTTGTTATAAGACGGAAGATGGAAGAAGTGCAAAGGCAATGGTTTGAAGTCCGAGTAGAGTGTGATTATCTAAAAGTTGAAAATCTCAAACTCATTAAAGAATGTAGCATGCTTCAGAAAGAAAATGGAGAGCTATGGAAGCAAAAGACCAAGTTAAATGAGTATTGTACAGTATTAGAAACAGAATTGAACAAAGTTGATAACCTTCAAAGAAAGAATCAACTGTTAGAAGAAGAAATTTTGGCTCAATTGCAAAAAAAGTTACAACTTCAGAAAGTAATCTTGGCTCTCAAAGAAACAATTAGTGAAACCAAGTCTGAAAATGAGATGCTGGAAGCTTCTTTTAGGATGTTATCTCGAGAGCATGAAGAGCTTGAGGCTAAAACAACGTTATTTGTTCAGAAAATCTTGAATAGTTGCAAACGTAGGAGAGTTGCCCTTGAAGAAGGCTTGGAAACTTATGAAGCTCTGCCGGAAAATGAGCTGGTCTAGACTAGGAGAGAGAATCACATACGGCTTAATGTTGGTAGACTTTTTCATTTCATCCTAATTGATCATAATCCTTGACATTAGGCAATCATTTGTTTGAAAAAGTTCTCTTTGATGGAGAGGTCGTAAGTTGCTGAAACAACTGATCTTTCTCTTTCTTTTTTACAGATTGATGACAAGCAAAACTCCAATACTGAAAATCCTCGATTTATAGGAGTTGAGCTTGCCGAAGCTTTAGAGGTAAATGATATGTATAAGACCCAGCTGAAGAGATGAGTAAGAGTGGTAGATTCCTGAACCATAAAGATTAGAATCTTGTCTCGATAAACCTAACATCTGAAATTGGGTATATAAATTTTTACTGTCAAATAATACAATCGATTATCTGTTAAATTCTTTTATGGTTTCTGATGCAGTTGTTTTGTCTCATCTTTAGTAACATGAAACCAGGCAATATTTGGTTTCTAATTGAAATCTTTAACCCTGGGATGCTTTTGTAATACATTAGTTGACTTTGAAAGGATGGTTGTATAAAAGATACCCTTGTTGGTTTAGGATAATATTCTTATGCAATGAACAACTCCACATAAAAGAAAGAAGAGGTGCGCTTCATGGAGTTTCAACTGTGCATTTAGAACCTCGAACTTTAGATATATTTCTCTCCCTGTCTCTTCTTTTTGTATTTCGACATCCGCTGTCATCATATATTGTAGCAGGATAAAGTTGTAGTCACATTAATTCTGTACTGTTATGCCCTCTTGGCTGGAATTACAGGCTTGCCAAAAGTATCCCGGGCAAGGGATGCTAAAACTATTTCGACATCCGCTGTCATCATATATCGTACAAATTCAACTCTCAAAGTCAGGTACTGAACTGCAGACTTGATTGTGCTCGCAGACTGTAAGTAGTGTTATACAAATGTAATCTAACGCTAATGATCTTTGTAAATTCTAATTGTGTTACGTTTCTTTTTCCGGAGGATATAAGCAGTCATGTAGATGTTCCCGGTAAGTCGACAGATGAAGGAGGTGCAGGAAACGACAGACGTGAATGCAAGGTATCGTTGCCTAAGATTGAGATGAGTGCACTGCAATGTATCAAATATGCTGAGGTAGATGCAGTAACACCCCCAACCCGTACCCTACTTGGATTCGAGTCCAATGTGTCACATTGACTTTTCAAAACATTTACTTGTATAAAATAGTGAGTAATTTAAAACTTTTATACATGTAGCTTATTCAAAAGATTTCCAGAACTATTCAGAGTTTAAATGTTTTTGCAAAACCGTTCAGTGCATATACAATTCAGACATTTATTTACATGCCAACCATTTCCAATGTACAGTATACATCTAATTCAAAACATCTTTTCTGATCTGATCTTCGGTAAGAAGTAACTGACCTGTCTTGCTCCACATTGCTCTCTATATTCTTCTCGAACCTACGTGTGAAACAATCACACGCTAAGTCGATGACTTAGTGAGGCAAATAAAACATAATAGAAATCATAAAACATCCCATATAACAAAACACATGAACATTTAATACTAACTTATCATACAAAATCATATACCTTTTTATATAACAAAGACACTCATGTACATATATCATCATCTACTTTCTTAGCATTATCATATATATTATTATCATTATCTCTATCATTATCATCGAATTATTTATCACATAATCTTGTACTTATCATTTCTGTATATCATATCACTCATATACCATTTCACCAAAAGCATATACATTATATATATTGTATTTATGTTATCTCTTTGATTAGCCCATGGTACACTTGTGAGAACTATCGATATGTGAGTCTATAGAGGTTGTGTACTAATGCTGTCACCACAGCTCGTATCATTGCACCGAAGTGCACGTAGAATTACACCGTAGTGCCATATAATAATGTCCATAAGGACCACATATCATTCCTTAAGGACTACATATCATTCCTTAAGGACTACATATCATTCCTTAAGGACTACATATCATTCCTTAAGGACCACATATCATCCCTTAAGAATCATATACATATACCAGGGATCAAGTATGTGTCTCACAAGACTTCACACATGTTCCAAAGAATATATATATATCCCGAAGGACCACGTAGACCCTCGACTCTTGGCATGCCAACTATACCCCTAGCTCTCATGACACATAACATGGGCATTATCATTTATTTCATTTCAAATAATTCACTTTCACATATCACGTATCACATAGCTTCTTTTCATATTATCACATAGTTCACTTACACGTAGATCATTTCCATATAATTCACATGTCACATATCCCATGCTCTTGTATTCATATAACATATAATCACATAGATTACTTTCACATCACATAATTCATAGTTATGATTTCATATACTTACCTAATTACAAAGCTAATTCACATATACCTGTTTTCATATAATTTCTATCATTTCTCCCCAATCACATTTATTCATGTAAACATACTTATCATATCTTGTTCACATATGATCATATACTTCCTATAACATATAGAAACACCTATAACACTTTCACATAGCTTATATCGTAGTTCTAAATATATATCATTTAATAGTATTTTATTTAGGTAATAATTTAATCTATTTATTTAATTCAATTTCATAATTTCATTATAATCTTTTCATATAGCTCCATAGATATTTAGCATATAACTTATCTTGCATATTCGTATCGTCCCTTAACTCTCATTAAATCAAAATCTCTATTATACTAATTCCCATGATGGATCATATCACTATGTACTTGTCCAACTCATGTTTACCTAGTTCATATCACTTCTCATGAACTCACTCTCATCATATTTTCCTATTCTTACATCTTTTATCTCATAACCATGTATTCACATAGTCTTATATTTCATTATCATATTACTTATATTTGTTCTTCTATGACTCTTTATAAACATCTATTTCCATTTCCCTACATCTCTTGACTTATCTTCTATATTCATATAATTTCATAACTTATTTTATATTCTCTCATTAACACTTAACCGTATTTTTACATAAACCACATAGCACATACAAAACAAAACCTATCAATTCATATAATTAAACATACATACACTTCATATCGTTAACATACTTATAATCAAGACTTAATGAGCTATTACTATAGGAATAGACTTATCACAAGTCCAATTTCCATATAATCTTATATAATAAGATGCACTCACCTGGGCCTCGTTGTTTGAATCAATCCTAATCTTTAGTTTGTTCCGGAACAAGCTTTCATTCTATATCTACATAATAATACATTAATACTTATCAGTATACTGATTGATATATTCGAAACTATCACTCCTTAGACTCAGAGAAAAGCCAATTTCATCTTTTAATGAAGGAATGCATCGATGCACTACTGATGCATCGATGTATAAAATGCATTCGATGTTGTATTATTATTGGGATGCATCGATGCATGCCTTATGCATCGATGCACTAATTGCATTCGATGTTTCTATTTTAAAAGAGTGCATCGATGCATTACCAATGCATCGATACACCTTCAAATAATTTATGGGTTTTAACCTTGATGCATCGATGCACTATGAATGTGCATCGATGCACTCTGCCCAGAATCCTCTTTTATGCCCGAAAATCCACTCTTTTCAGCTTAATACTTCATATATCATCCCCTTTCTTTTTTTTTAACTTACATACTCATATTCAAACTCATTCCTATTCATTAATCACCTCTTTAACATCAAAATCCTATTCTCCATATGAAATTCAAGAATTACACTAAATTTTCAACATGTTCCAAATTCAATTCTATTGTTTCTAGCTTCTTAATTATACCATTGACAAGTCAAATCCATCTTCAAAATCTATTTACTCCTTTTATTTCAATAATTCTCTTAAAAACTCTTCATATTTAATCCTCCCTAACTCATCCATTTTGAAGTTTCAACATACTTTAATATCTAAATAATCTTTCTTAGCACCCTAAGAATCAAAACTAAGCTTAAAACTCAAGAATTAACCAACTGAAATTAAACTTACCTTTGCCATGGAGCTTACGGGAAGAGAAGAGGAAGAAGGTAACCCAAACTCCAGACTTTTCTTTTCTTATCACCCTTCCACGTGTTTTATAACCCTAAAAGAAAGATAAAAATCTTTCTGGTCAAATGACCAATTTACCCTTTATTTCCTTTAATAATTACTGAATAACCTTCATCATATTTCCAATAAATCATTGAACTATTCAATTATCCTACTTTAATCACCAATTTCTGAAACTTTATAATTTGGTCACTAACCCGGTATTGAGGATGTTACAACTCTCCCCTCCTTTAAAGAAAATTCGTCCTCGAATTTTCACTGAACAAATCAATAAGAACATATCTTCTATTGTTCTCATGTTACCTCATTTACTTACTTTTTCCGTCCTGTATTTCTTCAATTGTCTTTTTCCTTTATACATTTATTTTCTGTTACTTATCATAAACACAGCAACTCATAACCTCAATCCATTTCATTTCTTTATTCCATTTCTCCTTTATTTATTCCTTATACACAAATCATATCTTTCTTTTCATATTCTCATACTCTTGTCTTATCATCTATACTCATCTCTATATTAATCTTAATTGTATTCTCATAACTTTGATAACCCATTTCTTATACAGAATTTCATTCTATATCATTTCCTTGTACTTGTATTTTTCCTTCCTTAAGATTCCATGCAAATACTTATCTCCTTTTCTATATCATAGCTATCTAGTTAGAATACACCACTATATTCAGTTTCACATCATAATTGATTAACTCAACTTTATCTTTTCCTCCAATCTTATAACTCTATCACCTTTACTCTGACAGCTAGTCAATAACATATGTTCAATCTAGGGTACAAACCCTAATCAACCAAACACATACATCCTTTCAAATCGAAATTATCTTAAAATTCATTTATTTAACTTGTCAATTTCACCTCCATTCTCATACATCCTGTACTTTTCGTTATTCAAACTAAACGTTCTGACTTCCTTTGTCTTATAAATTGATCATCGATATACCCATTCTTAAACTCTTCTTATCAATCCTCAGCTTTACTCAAATATACAACTGTATCCAGATTCATTTCATATTTGGTTATCATATCCTGAAAATATATTATAATCTTATACTTCCAGTATATTCCCATCACATATTCTTGTTAGCCAACGCTAACTTTTTCCTTCTAGAATGCAAAACAGTATCTACATCCCTTGATCCATTTAAAATACTTCTTATTCTTCACTTTATATAATTTCTAGCAAAACTCTGAATTCATTCCTCCACTTTCATATATATCTTTAACTTTTCATTCAATTATCCAAAACCAGACTCTAGTACTTAAATGAGTCTGACTTTCCTCCAATTGATCTTTTATCTTGAAATACCACCAATTCCAATCAAGTTTGTAGTTGAAAATCATAATCTCTATCTCTCTTTGGTAGTGCTAATTTATGAAATACTAGTTCCCTTAATCATTCTGAGTTTTTATTTCTCCAAACTTTTCGTTCTGAGCTTTTTCTCTTTAAAGCTTTAACACAATTAACCATTTCTTGAAACGATAACAAATTCAAAACCAGTAACACTCTTTTAATTTAAGGCGCAAGTCCTAACAAAATATCACATGTATCATTTTCAGTCGGAATTAACTCAGCAGCAATTCTGCTTAGCTTAATACACTTATAATCATACTTATACAAGGTGTAATTCCCTTGTTTCAAGCTCGTGTATTCCAGTTTCATCTGTCTTATAAACTGGTCATCAATGCACTTATTCTTGAACTCTTATACAATTCTAATCACATCATTTAATCTTTTAACATTCTTATGGTGACAATTGTCCACCATACTCTAACTTACCAAAGTAGTAACAAAACTACTCAATTCAACATCTCCACTTTGAAGAAATGAAAACCTTCTATCATATCATTCAACCAAAGGTCTATAACAATAGAACCTTCCTCAAATCAACCCTTGAACTTGGGTGCTCGCAACTTTATCAACTAATTTGATACATTCATTCTATGAGTTAAAGAAGTATAAATTGAAAACACATCAGAACATTTTTCAACATGAAGAATAATTTCCTAATTTTATACAGGCATTTACTGAGGTGTTCGCTCTTCTTCCTGCCTGGCCAAGGCAGGTGAAT